ATTTCACTGCGTCCAGGATGCATTGCCCCACCTTTACCATCCACCCTCCAAGCGACCATCTAGTATCCTACAGTGCGGCCCCGGGTTAACAGATTGTCTCTGGTGTGGATTCCTGGCCATACTGGCCTGGAAGGCAATGAGGCTGCTGACTTCCTTGCAAAGGATGGTGCTGCAAGCAGCTTCATCGGACCAGAACCTGTCATTATTACCGCTTTACGCTTTGCCAAATAAAGATTGAACTCCTGGATGGCAAGAAGATTTATGGACTTCTGGCAGAATCTTCCAGGATTGGCTCACTCAAAGGCGTGTATTCACCCTTCGAAGCTTGATACCAAACATTTGTTGGACTACGGGAGGAATGAACTACGCTACGATGTCTAACAGGCCTTCTTATAGGTCACTGTCATTTCAATCATCATATGCAGAAACTTGGACTGTCGGAAGACAGTGTGTGTCGCCTCTGTGGAAAATGATGAACCAGCAGAGCACATACTTTGTGCCTGCCCCGCTGGGGACAAAATCAGGTTTTCAGAGTTCGGCAGAGCCGTACCTTACCATCTGACCTTAAAGACCACTGGACAATCAAACTAATTGGCTTCGTTGAGAAGCTGGGTTGATTTGGTCGAGTGTGAATAAGTGTGAGCCACAATAAACCCTTGGGGGTTGCGGTGGAGGGTCGAATAGACCCACTCACTTTGGACCTAACCTAATCTAACCTAAGTCGACTAGCCGCGACGAGCCGCGTGAATACTGTAGAAGAAAGTTAGTCCAGGATGACTTCAAGACCTACCAGATCTGTTTTTGACTAATCGTTTCACCGGTTTACAAATTCTTTATTTTTTCCTAATCCTAACAGAAAAAATGCCTCGATTTCGGACTACATTAAGCTTCTTCAGGTCAAGTGGACTGGAATTCGAAATCGAAGAGTTACCCGGATTGTCTTCAACACATTAGCTTACTGTTGTAACTTGTTGTAACTTAATGGAAAGAGGTATCAGATCTGAGGAATACGCTTTCAGCTCTGTATACTTCATGAATTTAAGTGAGCCATAGATGTAAAAAAACAAGAGTATCTGCGATTCATGAAAATAATTGTGAATATTGCAAACTGGTTTTGTAGATCTCATCAGATTTTGGAAAACAAAAAGAACAATCAACAAGATAGTCTCAACTCACCGACACTGTAGGTGCACTAACTCATATCCATCAGAGAACAACTATTCCTCTGGCTAATACCACGAAGGGCGTTGAATTATACACGACAGGTGCCAGTGCAGGATTCTCAACAGAAGTGATTCCTGGGCTTATGGGGCGATAACAAATATGTTATTTGTTGTTCGCTTCAGCCTAGTTCGAGGAATGATACTCTGAAAGGAATTCGATTTTTATTTATGGAAAATCAACGACTTCATGTCGATGATGGATACTACCTTGTATTGACGAGTGACCAAATAGCCCGAAACCGGTCTGCAAGTGTATACCAATAATTGAAAAACGATTCCGGCAGTTGTATCGCCAACAGCATATGCAGGAATTACTTTTAAAAGGAATCCTGGACTGAACCTGTTGGATATAATTCAACGCTTTTCGTGGTATTAGCCAGGGTAGAAGTTGTTTTTTGAAGTCCGTCAACATACAGTGTAGGTGAGTTGAGACTGGCGTGAACAAAGTTTTCTCTTAGATAATTTGATTCACAGCCACTTTTCAAGCATGCAAGTCCTAATAATTCATAGTTCAGTTGTTTTGTATCTTTAGTTTTCAATTTCTTGAATAAACGAATAGTAATTAGGCATTTAAGGTGAGCACATGTATTTGTACCACTAACTGTTGAGTGAAATGATTCATTATCAACATTTCAAAAAACACAATATTGTAGTGAAGTGAGATTCAACAAAGGTGAATATAGAGTGACATCAATTTTAACAGTGGGGACGGTAGCCTGGCGGGTTGACGTGGGTGGTTTGCTCTACTCCATCAATCGACCGCTCCATGAACCGGTGGTTCGAACCGCAAGGCGGGACGATCTATTTTCACTTCCTATCGGCCAACCCGTTTTAGGAATCACACGTGAAAAGGTAAGACCTTGTGAGTCCTTAGCTCGCACAAGTTTCGACTTTTGAGAGTTGTCATTCGTAGGGGATCGACGGCTGGTTAACGGAAAAACAGATTTAAGATATTTTTTTAACCGATTTAACAGTATTCGTGAATGGATGCTAATGGTGCTAACTTGGTTGTCAGAAGGATGTTGTTAAAAGCTTTTATTTAACTTGACGTTTATATATGTTACCAAGTTCAATTTGACCCACTTCCCGGTATCCGATTGACCGGAAATTTTGCATGCTGGTCCAGAACCGATGACAATGCATGTTAATCATGAACGTGACCTGATGCTGCCTCCAGTATCGGCTCCGTACGAGAGATCTCATCAGCGGTAAATAGCAGGAACACGAAATTTTGTATACGCATTCGATTATGATAGGCAGTTGCTAGGCCCACCATGAAATAGAAGCCATATCCAGGGTTGCCTTCAATTAAAAGATATATTTCTAGAAAAAAAAATTAAAACAAGCTTTTACCTTTAAATACCTACTTCCCGACTCTAAAAAGAAGACAATAAATGATGTAGTAGGTTGTAAGAACCCATATTTATTTGCATTGTAAAAAAATAGTTCCCAGAGTAAGAGGGTCCATCATGCAATGTGAGCAACAGGCACAAGAG